TTTCCCTAATTGCCCTTGTGCCCTAATCATCTTACATTTGATGACTTGATGTCAGAGTTGTGACAGAATGGGTCTGGAGATGGAGTTTGGAGAAAGACAGTCCTATGCATCAATTTAAGTCATTTATTTGTTTAGTGCACAAGTTTAAAGAATTTACCATATAAAATGCAGTAAGTTCTGGAGAAGATTTGCCCTAACAAAGGAGAAAAGGTAATTTTGTATGAAAATGCTTGTCAGTACACTTTAGCTACTAGTCCCACTTTTTAAGTGGTTGGGGAGTTCCTAAATCAGGGGTCAGCAATGTTTTTGGCTGGAGTGCCAAAAACACCCCAACCTCGACCCACACTTCATCTTGACATACCAGGAGCAAACAGAAGGCGAGCTGCAAGGGGCCCATTCCTCATTGCTGGTAGTGGGTGGAAATACACCTCTGGGCACACAGTGTGGGAGCAGCCATGGTTGCGGTGCCCCAGACCTTTTCCTGCCGTGTGTCCTGAGGTATGTGTGCAGCTGCTGCCAGCCACAGAGCCTAAGCTGCTTGCAGTAGGAAGTATTCAGGCTGCAAACTGTTACGCCAGTGTCCAGTGCCCCAGCTGTCCACCTAGAGGTGTGTGTGCAGCTGCTGTCACATAGCCTGGCCAGGGCTCCTGACCCTGGTGCAGCTGTTTGCAGCTTCCTGGCTGCCTGCCACAGCTGGCCTGGGCTCTGGGCAGCTGCAGCAGGCGGTGTGCAGGATGCAAACAGCTGCACCATTGTCCGGAGCACCGGCTCCATGACAGCAGCAACTACACGTGCCTCCCAGGGAGGATGGGGTTGGGGGAGAGGGAAGCTTTCCACCCAGCCCAGCCACCACAGTGCCAGTTGGCACCCTATGGACCTGACCCCCCACCCCCCAGTCTAATTATAGTGCGACCCAGCCTAGCTGCTCCCCTTACAGCCCCTGCAGGATGAGCCAGAGAGGCTGGGCAGCAGCAGCAGTAACCAGTGCAAGCAGCAGGCAGGGTTGGAACCTCAGCGGCTACCACCCCCCGCCCCGTGCCCTGCGTTCAAATCTAAACTCCACCCCCAACCCACACCCCTTTGGGATGGGATGGAGAGCTGGCTCTAAGAAGTGGAGAGGAGCACAGTGCAGCCCAGCCATGTAGCGGTCCCTGCTAGGGCATGCAGACATGGCGGGGCATGGGAGTAGCAGTTGGAAGGGTGCAAACAGCTGCACCAGTGTCTGGAGCCCTGGCACTGGCTCTGTGGTGGTAGTGGTGGCTGCATGGGCTCCTCCAGGTGGACAGTGGGGAAGGGGCCGGAGACATGCTTGCAGCCACTGCTGCCACAGGGCCTGGCCTGGGCTTTGGAATCCAGTGTAACTGTTTCCAACCTCCCAACTGTCTGCCACCACTGTCCTGGGCTATGGGCAGCTGCTGCCTGCCACGGAGCCTGAGCTGCTTGTCATAGGGCTTGCAGCTTCCTGGCCACCTGCTGTAAGCAACCAAGGCTCTGTGGCTAGCAACAGCTGCCAGGAGCCCTGGCCGGCTGTGGCATGCCGAGCAAAATGGCCTCATGTGCCATGCTCTGGCATGCAGGCTGGGGGTTGCCGACCTGTCCTAAATACTCCAAAGGAGGGTCATGTAGAACCTCATATGTGAACAAATGCAATACCAATCCTATTTACATTTTGTGATGCTTCATAAAATATACTTGCTGGGAGGTACAATAAAAGGTTTAAATAAATCTGAAGAATATATCTGCCAATCTCAGACTAATTTACATAAAAACCCTCTAGACACATCCAGACGTGCGTGGACATTTGGTCCCCTGGGGGCAAGTAGTGGTGGCACACCTTGTGCAGCCACTCCTTGTCCTGGGGAACCCCCATACTTTGGCACATAGCAAGTTGCCCCCGGGTGGGGTAAGGGAGGCTAGGGTCGGCACTAGGCTGGCCCCTGCAGCCTTACCTGGGGTCCTAGGGGCCTCCTGGGGCTGCAGTCACAGCAATTCTGCCACGCAGATCTTGGCTGGCAGCAGAGTGTGACTCCAGATGGCCAGACTCTGCTTTGCAGCAGTGTACTCTGGCTGAGCATGTGTTGCTCTGGGTTTTTTTCCAATTTTTTTTTTTTTGACCCCTGGATATCCAGAGGTCAAAAAAACCCACAGAAAAAAACCCAGTGCAGCGCATGCTTGGGCAGTGTGCCCTTGCAGCATGGAGAACATTGGACTATGCGGCATGTGGTGCTGCAAACATGCTTGCGGCACCATATACCGCAAAACCGTGCTTGTCTGGACACACCCTCTGAGTTTAATACTAAAGTTATAACCAATATAAGCTTGTTATTGTGAGAATTCATATGTTACGCTGCTTAGTAAATTTAGGAGACCTTTTAGAAAAAATTCTGTGAATGTGGGTTCTATTTGTTCCTGTGAATTCAGGCACACATTCAACATCAATTGACAGCAGACAGTGATTTGCATGCTTAGGAATTCTGCTTAGTGAATTATCCTCAAGAGATGCCTCAGATGAATCATTGTTATTTGATTCAGGTTGCAAAATTCTATAGTTATCGTAAAACCAGTATTAGAAATCTTAGATTAAATCAGATGGCTAGATTAATGTCTTTTAGAACCTGATAATGCATGCTAAACAAGGTTCTTCAACCATCCTAATTAGGTAAGCAGTTGTCAGTGACAATGCCATATGTAGACAAAAAGGCAAAGAATTCAGGGAAAGGGACACAAAAGGTATGTGTATACAGCCTGTCTCCTAAGCCTGGAACTGCCATTGACCAAATAAGTCCTGCCCAGTTATTCAGGTGTACCAAAGGGCTTTGTTACACGTTACACTGAGATGTACAAATGTTGATCAGTGTTAGTGCTAGCTAACTTTGGAGCAGTCAGACTTCAGGCCAGCAGGGGCCTGGAGGACTGAAAGGTAAAAATTCCCCCCATCCCTTTCCAGGTTTCCCCTCTGCCCCCTGGGGCTCTCCTGGTTCCCCCTCACCCCGCCCTTGCCAAGCACTGTGGTGGGGTCTGTTATCAACTCTATCAAACTGGCAAACATGATGAGTTGCTTCTTATGCACTTTTTTGAAATATAGGAAAAGATAGACTGTAGTGTTAAGTAAAACTTGAACTTGTGAGGTACACATTGGATGTTTCATGCAATCAGTCATAAATTATCATTAGAATTTCTAAAAAATTCAGATGATCGTTTTCTAACTCACAAGGTATTGAACCCAACATGTAGTAACACTATTTTGCACCTCATAATTCATCGTGGGGCTGGAAAGTAGTGATTGCCTATGGAGCAGTGATTGTAGCCTGATTACAGAGCAAACAAAGAACAATTTCCACCTGAATAAAGGTACATAATACCTTAAAAGAGCTAAATTGACAAAGTTGCGGAAAACTGAGCAAGCTTGATTGTGAAGGAAAATTTCAAAAAATGTGGAAAAAAGGCAAGCTCTTCAGCAAAATAACGTGGGCCTACATCCAAGAAAGAAGGCAACTTTGGCTAAAAGCCCACATAGTTAAAAGATCGCGTGAAAACTGGAAATAGAAATACAATAATTAAATAGATAGCAGCCACTATACATTGGAAGTTATAAATTGTCAAAAACTGAAAAGTAAAGTTAATGACATCAGAGAAAATCTATAGCAGTCAGGGCCAAGGACAATACGAAGAGATTTAAAGTGTATTGGGAGCAAAAGAATTCCTAACACAAGTAAAGACCCATTGGTAGTGAAGATAGTAAAATTATTAATAATGATGTAGGAAAAAGTGAAGTGATCTATCAAAATTTCTATTCTGTACCTGGTATTAAGCAGGATTTATGATAGAATCACAAAGCTGGAAAGAACCAGAAGGATCATCAACCTCTATGATATAATCAGGCTGCATCATGTGCTTATATCACCCGCATGGAGTACTATCCAGTCCTTTAGAAACCAAGAATATTAAACATTTGCTAGAGATGAACAGTTTTAAATTAGGAGACTCAAATACATTGGGCTCAGGAGTCCTAAAGAACTAGCTGAGCAAACCTCTGCCTTGGTAATAAGTATTAGACAAGGAAGGAAATTCCAGAATACTGGGTGATTATGCCAGTATTCAAAAAGAAGCAGCAAGATGACTTGGGTAACAACAGGCCAAATAGTCTAACATCAATAACAGGCCAAATAATTGAAAATTTGATAATTTAATTAGGGGTAAAAATAAAATTGATGCCAGTCCACATGCGATAAGCAAAAAAATATTATGCAACAAATCTACTTTCATTCTTTGAGGAGATACATTGGTTTATAAATGCATCTGCATTATATTTGTGTAAGGAGTTTTCCATAGTATTTCCTGGTGGTCTCATTAAAAAATGTAATATTTTACAATATCAATAAGTCAAAAATTAAATGATTTCAAAACTGGCAGAGTGACAGACCTCAAAAAGTAATCAGCAATCATGAATCTTCATTAAATATAGCTGTTTTTCAGGGATTCTGCAGAGATTGATGCAAAGTCAGACACTATTCAATATTTTAATCAGTAATCTAGAACAGTGGTTCTCAACCTTTTTTGTACCAGGACCCACTGGTAAACATCGATGGCCAGTCCCAACCCAGTGCCCCTCCCTCCTGCCCCACTGTCCCCCAGCCCCAGGCCCCAGCCCCACAGTGTGTGGGGCTGGAGAGGGAGGCATGGGGGCCCCAAGCAGCCTCTTCCAGGCTGAAACTCTGCCAGCCTGCAAGGGAAAAGTCATGGTTTCTCCTTTAAAGGACAATCCATTTTTAAAGATTGTTCTCAACACTTTCATGTATTCTTATGACCCACTTTTGGGTTGAGAACTGCTGATCTAGCAGATAACATTTGTAAATGATGCAAAGGGCACTATCTCCAAGACAGTAGTCTTACAGAACATTTTGAATTGCTTGGTTAACTCACCCTAGACCTTCTAGATGGGACCAGGAAAGCAGTGACTGACAGATTATGGGGTTGAGTGGACAAGAAACTCAGCATGAATTCAGAGTGCAATCCTTGAATGAATGAGCAGAAGAGAATGGGGATTTGTAAACTCGCTCTATGTCCATACACAACACTGGTGAGATTGGAATGCTGCATCAAATCCTGGTGTTAGCACCTAAAATAGGATGTTGAAAATTTGGAGAGGGCACAGAAAAGAGCCACAAAGTGACTTGATGGCTGTAAAAATGTCTCATGGTAACAGATTTTAAAAGTGCAATCTCATAACAGAAGAGTGTCAGGATGAGTTGAATTTAGTTTGTCAAAAAAATGATAGCATGTCTATAGAGACGACCGTGGCAGATTGTGGGGCCTGGGGCAAATCAGTCTGTGAGGGGTCTGGACACGGGGCTGGTGAGGACACGTGCAGCTGGACACGAAGCTGGGCCAGCTCTATGGGCCCCTCCCTAAATCCCTTTCTTCACTCTTTCTAAAGCAAAAACAAATACATTGTGTGCTCTATAAAACACTTTCCTCAGGTATACTGGGCCCACCTCTGTTTATTCAGTTCTTGTCATTCTGCAAGCATGCGGTTCCTGTCATCCAGTTCAGGACAGGTGCCCCCCTTCAGTTAGAGTGTAAGTTCAGCCTTCCTGCTGGGATCCTCTGGAGCTTTTACCCATTTTAGGGTTTCGAGAAGACAAAAAGAATGAAAAAGGAAAAGAATTAGGAAAGCCAAACAAACATTATTTGGCTCTGTATTATGGAAACTGAGTGAAATGTAATGGTCTGTGATATGCAGGAGGTCATGTATGTCCTTATGGTTCCTTCTGGCTTTAAACTCTATAAATACATTAAGTATCTAAATATAGTAATTGTAAAAACTAAAATTGTAAACACACCACTGGAGTGTCAAAAGGCTGAAAGTATGATTACAAGTGAAAAGGAGGTCTTTTTCTCGTAATCAATGCTAACTCAAGTTTATGTTTTTAAATAAGTGTTTGCTTTCCAAGATTACATCTTGTACAAGTGCACCCTCTTGTGGTATAAATAAGAGTCAAGTACCTGAATTATAGCTTGAACCGGGAAAGGTGCATAATAATTTGAATGGCAGCTTTCAAAAAATGATTTTTCCTCTCAGGTTAACCATGCAATATACACAAAAGGGAACAAACTTGCCCATCTTTATATTATATAGTTACAAGATTTTAAAATGTTAGCCTTTGGTACTATGATTGATGTTGTTTTTATTTTATATGACATTTAATTGCAGTATGTCTACATAAATAATTACAACTGATCTTAAAAATGCACTTTAATTGTTTCTCACACTGGTATATCTATAAAAAGAATATAGCTTTATATATTCAGCTACAGGAATATATATTCTTCTACCCTTACTCAGAAGAACTATTCAGACTAGGGTACTATTCAGTTTGATTAAGGGTGAGTGAGTCTAACCTAATTGTATGTCATAGTCCAAAATGATGTGGTCTATTTGTTTCTTCAATTCCATTAGAAATTTACTCAAAGGGGTCTGCAGTTCAGATCCTTTAGCAACAGTATATTTATAGTCTTTAAAATAAAGAAAAAGTTCTATGCGTTGTTTTCTTAAAACTTATTTTATTATTAGGGAAATCATTGACTGGATGAAACAGAACAGAAATTGTATATATAGAGAGTTTAAGCAATATTTAATCATGTTATAATTGCCTTCCACTTTCTTGCTCTTTTTGCTTGCGTGATTCAGTTTAAAGTTTAAGCCAGCCAAACACTATTGCAGTGGGCAGATGGTAGAGAGAACACTGCCACAAAACCTGCCACTCAAAGTGTAACAGATGACTGTAGCTGCAGAAAACTGTCCCTTTGTTCATTTTGCTAATGAGTGTCCTCATTGCAGCAGGAGACTGAATAGATAATTATTTGCAGTTCTTGTTTTTAACAGATGGTGGAGCTAGAGCTAAAGGTTATCCACCTAACCAGCACAAACTATAAATTGATCTTTGAGTAAAATAATAATTCTCCTATATTTTTCCAAATTACTTATCTAAAACAATGAATGAAAAAAGACTGTACATAGATCATAAGCCATCACCTTAAAATATTTTATCTTCAGTTCACATGATTAATTAAACAGTTTCTAGGGTTTTTTTCTTTATGATAATGGCAGCTCCTCATGTAATCATCTGTTGATGCTCAAATTCTGCCAGGGCAAAGGACTAATGCCTAAGCCTATTAAGGTCCGTAACAGTTATTTAAAAGGTCTTTTGAAATTGTAAATTTGTTTTGTAATGGTTTAGAGTTGGGCAGTGTCAGAGGAGAATGCTAACTAATCACTCAAATATTGGATTTGCTGTTTTATGAACAACCCCCCTGCAGTTTGTTAGAGACTTCCAATACAATTTCCAGTGTTTTGGTAATAGTACTGAATTAATTCCAGTGTACTTATTAACTGGTAAGAATAATTCAATATCATTAGTTAGAACAAAACCTTTTTAAAAATAATTCGCTGTGAAATACCAGTCATTCAGGATATATATACATCTTGAAAATCTATCAGACAAATTTAACATAATTTTATTTATAATGTTCAACTCTTATATAAATAGCCACTTTTTAATAGAAAACAAAGTGGGGTCACAAATTAATACCGGGGTGAATTTTTAAAACTATACAATCTAACTACATGATTTTCCCATAGAATCGTTCAGAATTTTCTGGCTAGAACTTTGATCGTTTATTCCTAAAATTTTGAGCGCCAAAGAGACTGCGTGTTTTATGAGGAAAGGACTAAATATTAGTCACAAATCTGGTTCTCATTTCTGGTAGACATGTCTTAAAAAAGCACAAGAGTTTTATTTCAAAAGTTTTTGACACCAGATTTTTGCTTATCATCATCAGGTAAGGTAGACAAAGAACTTCCTCTTTCAGATGATTGTTTCTGAAAAACAGAAAAATAATAACTTACATTTCCTTCAATAAATAAAGAACTTATTATCCTGTGCTTTGGGATTTTTTGATTTTTGTTTTTTGGTTTTTTTTATACATATAGTTTAAAAGCTTTCAGAATTTAGTTTCATATTCTGGTATTTCTATAACATTTCTGAAAGCTTTTCTATAATTTTAAAAGAAATATGTGGCAGTAAAATCTAGACAGCCATAAGACAATATATTCAAATGTTTTCAATAGCTTTGAAGCAGACAAGAAAAAAAGAGTAGCTGTCCCAATAAGCTTCAGTTGCATAAGAAGTCTTTTCCATAATGGACGTGGCAAGATTTAAACAAAGGACACGCATAATAAAAATGTAAATGAGTTTGCTTTACTAAAACTATAACTTTAAAGTCTTTTGTTGTATGTTATCCTGGAACCTTCTTACAAGGTAATCACTGTTTGCATAGAGATTTAAACCGTAGTCTTCAATAGCATTAAACCCCTGCACGGTTTATGTGTGACAGGCATGCAAAGCCATGTTAATGTTCAGAATATGAATTGCCTCTGGGTGGCTCCGACACCAAGTAGAAAACCAACTGTGTTGATATCAGAAGGCCTGATGGACTCCATGCGGCTCCCAGCCTGAAAACTTCACCACTTTGACATGTGATGTGCTCCTCATGACACTGGCAGCACTGTCACTGAGAAATGGCACAAAGGCAACAAGCCCCCCTCCTTAGCCATGCACTTTGCAACCCCCTGGTGTTGCCTGTCCACAGTCTCTCCTGCCTGCCTAGTTACGGACAGCGCTTCATAAACACAGAGGGAAGTGTGGGTGGATAGGCCCCAGCTGCCTTCCTGGACACAGCCTCCATAATAAATTGACCTGAATGATGAGGGCACACAAACAGTATGATATGCATTATTCCTGTCAATAAAATGTCCCCATGTGTTATGGTCTTTGTGTATAATGTACTGCATTCTTTTTTTCTAGCAGGATCCTATTTAGTCTCTTGACTTTTTGGTATTCATAACTTTGTAATAGAATTCAGAATTTATATGATACTGTGTTTATATAATATTATACTTGTGAAGCATATTTAAATCCTTAATTGCTTGTTTAGAAACACGGAGCTTCTTAATCTTTCAGATTATCTTTGAAGATGATGACCAGGAGAAAAAAATGCTTGAAAAAGAAAATGAGGATTTCAAGCAAGAGGCTTCTAGACTGTATGATATGATTTTGCATCTTGAAAATTCTCTGAAACTGAGTGAAAAAGAAAATAAAAAATTAGGTAAACTTATGAGTTATTAGACAAATTAAAGTATGATATGTATTAAATTTTGTTAACATTGAAATGCAAAGCCAATTGGTAAAATGTCCTGGCAAGCTATTCTTTGACTCTCCATTTGCTTGCTTTATATTTTTAATGGTTCTAAACTCTTATATATTTACAGGGAAATGTGTATATATTTATTCTTAAATTAATACATATATTTACATACTTTAAATATAAAGGGATGTTTCTTAATGGATTTTGAGACTTTTAATGTGGGTTAGTAATATACCTGGAGATTATCAATCATAATACTAATATATTGTAGTTTGTAAACTTACTGAAATTTGAAAATATGTATCTAAACATTTGTAAATGGTGTAACTTACTGCTAGTCTCAATCTAATTGTCTTAACATGAGGAAAATGTACTCTGCATAGAATGGTTTTGCATGTACCTGTGTTAACATATGCTTTCTTGAAAAATAATAGTTTTATTTTTGTGTAAAAGTCTCTTAGAAGAAGCAGTTTCTTGTCAAGTTACTACCATTGTTTCCAGCGCATATATTTATTAGTTTTAATAATAAATATATTATTAAAACTAATAAATGTGTTTTGACTGCTCTGAAATGTGTGTGTAAATGTGGTTATGTGCACACTAACAAGTTCAGATAATCAATACAGAGTATAACTATAATCTTTACTTTTAAGTTAGTTCTTGCGTAGCACCAGTGCTAGACCATTCTTGTGGAAAACTAAAAATCTATGACATTACAACAGAATTAGTGCAATAAAGTTGGCTTCTGACTTCTGTATGTCCAAAGAGATTAAGCACAGTGGTACCTTTTATGGTAGAATGATGAATTTAACATAAACAATATTCCTTATTTCTGCTTATTATCTGATCAAATGGTGCTTCTTATCTTCTGATAGTTTTGTTTGAGCAATAAAGAACCACCTGCTAAAGTACTTTGTACTGGCTGTGACTAACAGCAAGGATGTCTAGAATTAGTATTAATGAAAAGCTGTGGGCACTCAGTCACACTTGGCTCTTGAACTTACTTCTTAATCTCTATCTGACCAGCCGGCTGAACAGCAGGAAGAAGGCTGTGAATGTCAAGGGCGGTTGTGAAGGTCACAGTTCTGCCAGGATTTTCATCTAGTGTGCATTCCAGTGGGCTCATAGACTGACCTGAAGCACACGATATGAATACATCGACCTAGGCATGTAATTTCATGGTCTGCCTTTCTCCCCCTTTACTTTCAGATACGAAAGTTCGAGATATGCAATTAAAAATGGAAAATGATGAGAAAACTGTTATAAAGGTACTGTACTTTTTAATATTGATGAATAACTCTCTAAGCATAGGCTTTGGTTTTTGACAGAGTGTCATCCAAGTAATGTTAGAAAACTGAAAAAGTAGACTATACCACTTGAGTTGTTTGCAGGTTTATGGAACTCATTATTGCTTATCAATGAGCTAGTATTCGTCCCTTCTTTAGAATATAATGAATCAGTTTAACTTTATCGTGTTCTATCACCAGTATTCTTGT